ATAATATGACATATATTACTATATATTATAAAAATAAGAATGGAATATATTTGAGTGCCTGAAAAATAGTTTGAAGTCTCGATGAGGCCAAAATAATTATTATATACTCAAGACTCAACGTGTTCTTCAGCCACAGCTGTAGCGAAAACGGCATAAACATAATGAAATAAGTAAATGATCAAAATATGTACCTGCTATAAATATCGATTAAAGGTCAATAAATATGAATCGAAAGAAATCCTTTACATTGCAGAGAATATACACTTTTATCTCATTTAGTGAATCACTAAACATACTTATTCCCAATTTTACCTTTGTTAAGGGGGTCGGTACCGGCCGGCGGCCATTAATTAAGGAGTATAATTTAGGCAATTCAATTCGCATGTTATATGGATTGCGCGCGAGCCGTGCATCTGTGTGAGTGTATAAATCKTTATTAGTGTAAGTAAGCTAAATTTAGCATGAGATATCKGCGGCACATGGATCTTGCATTTGTATATAGATGTTTATAAATGTATATTAGACCGGTTTTTATCGTTTCATGGAAGTTCTATAATATGTCTTTATTATTCTAATATAAATTATTATTGTTATTATCAATGAGGAAACACTAACATTATCAAATTGTGCATAGTATATTACGATTTCAATCTTTTTTTTTTTTGCAAATAATTGACGACATGGGACTATGGAAGGCAAGAAAAGAATTTAAAAAAAAAAAAAATGTATCCACGTATCGGAAGGTAAAAGGACGCAAAAAATGCGATTAGTGCATTATTAAGTTATAATAAAGAGAAAACAGATACTSTACAATGAATATTATTGTGAATAAATTAATAAATTAGTTTAAACGTGAAATATTGATTATTTGTTTTATTTTTGTTTAGTGTTTAAAAAAATGTTAATCTTACATTCTTACTTCACATGATGAATCACAAAATAAACCATGTTGTTCTAAAACATTAGATATACTATCAACAACGACAACAAGTACTTATTCTAGAGAAGAAATTATGTCTGATGGTTTTAATCAGTTGTATGTTAATATTTTAAAAATTATAATAAATAGAAACTTTAAAATCATTATTTATTACATAAAAATGTGTATTTTGATTTTTGAACAAAGTGATGAATGTATTGATTTTATCATAATGTGAGTGTATTTTTTTTTTGTGTCTGTCATCGCGTTTATGGGCAGTAAAAGTGCTTCGATTTTTGACTTCATTACCTCGTTCGATCAGAAAGTAAATCTAATTGGTACTTTGGGGGGTCAAAAGTGAAAAATTCTTAATACTTTTCTGTATAATCGAGAAAAACAAACTAAAAATTAAGGGAAAAACGGGAAAAAAACAAATGACCATAGATACATGAAATTTTCACCGAATGTTTATATAAGTATATTATATCCACCGTGCAATTTTCAAAAATTTTCGACTTAAGTTGAACTATTCATAGGCATTCGAAATTTTCGATCATAATTAGTTTTTTTWAAATTAATATTGATAAAAATTTATTTGTTAGACAGAAAAGCTTGAAAATTTAATACTAGGCTCATAATATAGTTTTGCAATAGCAGTTGAAAAATAAAAGAAATATATATGGCCACATTTTTTTTTTACATGCATTTAAATTTTAATTTTGACAACATACGTAAAAATTACGAAAATTCGTAAATTATTTTATTCTAGAAATTCATAAAAAATTTTACTTTTACATCTAAGATTTGAAAATTTAATACAAGGCTCCTAAAATATTTTTACAATAGCAATTGAAAAATTCAAGAAATGTATAATCACACTTTTTTTTTACAAGCATTTAAATTTAAATTTTGACAACATACGTAGAAATCATGAACATTCGCAAATTATTATAAGCTAGAAATTCATAAAATCATATGAGGAAAATCGGTATTTTACGTGTGAATTTCCAAAAATTTAAACTTAAGACACAAATAAAAACTAKTTAAGATGATAGTACCTACACTCGAATTTTTTCTAATAACCTTTAATAAAAACATAAGTAAAACATTGTAATAAGTTTTCAAACGGAGTGTGAATATTAATAGTTTTATATATTTTCAACAACAAAATAACTTGCAAATTTTTGGGATATGGTAATAATACGATCTTTGAATGCTTAATGCTTAATGCTCTGAATTTCTAGCTTAATATAATTTACGTATTTTCGTGATTATTACGTATGTTGTCAAAATTAAAATTTAAATGCTTGTAAAAAAAAATGTGACTATGCATTTCTTTTATTTTTCAACTGCTATTGTAAAAATATTTAAGAGCTTTGTATTAAATTTTCAAATCTTAGAATTAAAAAGAAAAACTTTTATGAATTTCTATCTAAGATAATTTGAACATTACCGTAATTTTTACGTATTTAGTCAAAATTTGAACTTTGAATGCTTTTAAAAAAAAATTATGCATATTATACAGAGTGTCCCACAGAGATCTGACAAATGAAATAACTTTTGTTCTAATCAATATTTTTAAAAATGTTCTTTTAAATACAATTCATAGCAATTGCGCTATATTTTAGATTCTGAACGAAGTGATGAATGTATTGATTTTATAATGATGTGTGTTTTTTTTGTGTCTGTGTACGGCAYAACTAGTCGAAATAACCTACCAAAAAAAACTTGAAAATTTAATACAAGGTTCCTTATAAGTTGTTCTTATTGAAGCTAAAAAAAATTAAAAATCGTTAGTCACAATTTTTTTTTATAAGCGTTTATAGTTCAAATTTTTAGTAGTAAGTTTAAAAATCATACAATTTTTTCTGTTTATAACTAAGGATTAAAAATATAACACTAAGTTTTCCATAAGTTTTCCTTCAAATAGCTATAGTGAAAACTCGAAGCATAATTTATTCATATAGTGATTAAAAAATTACAAAAATACATAAGCACGATTTTTTTTTATTAACATTTGAAGTTCAAATTTTGACTAAATACATAAAAATTACGGCAATATTCAAATTATCAAAAATATTTTAGTCGAAACCTGTTTTTGCATGAAAATTCTCGTTTTTCTTTCTTTTTTTTTTTTGTTCACCCGACGCGTATGAAAACTTCTGATATTTCAAAATTTTAAATTTTGTATACATCAACTAGATTCATTTTTCTACCAGAAAAAATACTAAAGTTGTTGAAAATCGAACCACTTATCGTTCCCAAAGACACAAATAATAAAAAACACACACACATACATCGTAATAAAATCAATACA